CACAATATTGATTTAAACTATAGTAGTGTTTCTTTTTACAAATGTCAGTGTCCTTGTGTTTGGGGCATACATGTTAAGATTTAAAATCTTATCTAGGCAGATTTTCCCTGTGATGAGTATATAGTATTGTATTAGTCAGGGTTCTCTAGAGTCACAGAACTTATGAGTGGTCTCTATATAGTAAGGGAATTTGTTGATGACTTACAGTCTGTAGTCCAACTCCCCAACAATGGTCAGCAGCAGCTGTGAATGGAAGTCTAAGGATCTAGCAGTTGCTCAGTCCCACAAGGCAAACAGGTGAAGAAGAACAAGTCTTCCTTCTTCCAATGTCCTTATGTAGGTCTCCAGCAGAAGGTATGGCCCAAATTAAAGGTGTGTACCGACATACCTGGATCTGGATTAAAGGTGTGTACTACCTTGCCTGGGACTAAGCTTTTCATAGCTACTATGCCTCTAGATCAGGATCACAGGTGAGTCTTCCAATTCTGGATTGGAACACACACACACACACCACACACACACCCACACACACCCACACACACACACACCACACACACACACCCACATACACACCACACACCACACACCACACACCACACACACACACACACACACACACACACACACACCACACCCACACACACACACACACACACACACACACACACACACACACTACAAGTTGACAACCAGGAGTAGCCACCACAAGTATCTTTCCCTATCTTTTCTGATTAGTTTTGGTTTTAAGTCTATTTTGTTAAATATTAAAATGCCTACACAAGCTTGTTTTTTAAGTTCATTTTCTTGGGATTTTTTTCTAATCCTTTACCCTGAGGTAATATTTTTCCTTGGTGTTGAGATATGTTTCTTAGATGCAACAGAAGGATGGATCCTGTTTTCCATTCATTCTGTTAGTCTTTTTATTGGGGAATTGAGTCCATTGATATTGAGAAATATCTATGAGTAATGATTGTTGATTCCTGTTATTTTGGTGGTGGTGGTGGTAGTGTGTGTGTGTGTGTGTGTGTGTGTCTGTGTGTGTAATTTTGCTGGTCTGAGATTAGTTATTCTCTGTGTTTTTATGATTGTAGTTAACCTCCTTAGGTTGAAGTTTTCCTTCTAGTATTTTCTAGAGGGCTGGATTTACAGATAAATATGACTTAAATTTGGCTTTTTCATGGAATGTTTTATTTTCTTCATCTTTGCTGTTTGAAAGTTTTGGTATAGTATAGAGCTGCCATGTGTGGTCTCTTAAGAGTCTTAAGTACATCTGCCTAGATACTTCTGGCTTTTAGAGTCTCTGTGAGAAATCAGGTATAATTCTAATAGATCTGCCTTTATATGTTACTTGGTATTTTCCCCTTGCACTTTTAATATTCTTTTCTTTGTTCTGTATATTTAGTGTTTAGATTACTGTGCAATGAGGGGACTTTCCTTTTTAGTTCAATCTATTTGGTTTCTATTTGGGCATCTCCTCCTTTATGTTAGAAAATTTTTCTTTTATGATTTTGCTTTAAATGTTTCCTAGAACTTTTACCTGTTTTTTTTTCTCTGTCCCCTATTCCTCTATTTTATTAACAGATTTGGTCTGTTCACAGTGTCCCAGAGTTTCTGGGTGTTTTGTGTCAGGATATTTTTTTCTTTAAATTTAACATTTTCTTTGACTCATGTATCCATTTTTTCTATTGTGTCTTCAACATCTGAGATTCTCTCTTCCATTTTTGTAGTCTGTTAGTGAAGCTTGCCTCTATAGGTTTTGTTTGAAATCTAAATTTTTATTTCTAGAATTCCTTCAGCTTGGATTTTCTTTATTGATTCTATTTCCTTTTTCAAGGCTTGCACATTTTTATTCATTTTTCTTCCACTGTTTGTTTATATTTTCCTGGATTTCATTATGGGATTTTTTTTTCATTTCCTCTATAAGGATTTCTACCACATTCATTAAAAACTATTCTAAGGTCTTTTTCTTGTGCTCCAGCTATGTTGGAATATTCAGGCCCTGCTGTGGTAGTGTTGCTAGGCCCCAGTGGAGACATATTTCCCTAGCTGTTATTGATTGTGCTTTTACATTGGCATCCAGTCATCTGGAATTGAGAAGACTATAGTTGTGAGTGCTGATATCTGGTTTTGTCTTTGTTGGGTGGATGTTTTGTTCCTTGGTTTTTGTTTCCTCTCTGGATTTTAGAAGAGTCTAATAACTGTGAGTAATCTGGTAGAAAAATTTCTGTGATGCTAATAGGTGTGGTCACTGGCAATTCTACATAAAGGTATTTCTGGGTATTGGGAGCTCAGCTGATGTGTTCTGGGGGAATGTCTGCTAGTGTTTGAGGCTAGAATAACGGGATTAGTTGGAGGAAGGAAGATTGGAAGAGAAAATCTTCCTGATACATTAAGGATGGGGTCAGAGAGGAAAGGGAGATGGAAGCAGGTGTTCTGTTACAGAGCTGGGGATGAGACTAGGGTATTGGATCTAGAGGGGCAGAAGGAGATGTAAATATCTATAATTAACCTACCTCCTTCCCTGGCAGGAGTCTAAAAAAATAAATGGATGGCTACTAAACACCTTAAAAAGCTATTCACAGCTAGGCAGTGTGGTGTGTAGCACACATCGTTAATCCAACCACTTTCTTGTTGAACCTCAACTTCAATGGCAAGGTGGTTGGTCACCCTCCAAACATTAACGCATTTTTTCCCTAGGAGAAGTGGAGGTTGTGGAATGTTTAGGACAGAGGGATTTAGTGTTTGTGGGAACTCCTCCCATGGATTTTATGGGTTCTTGAAGTTTCTTTGGCACCAGGATGAAGTGACTGTGGTATGTTTTGTTGTTTATATATTATTACCAAAACTTCCCCAACAGTACAGAAGCTTCCAACAGTAGTCACATAGAAGGAACAAAACAGTCCAGTGACAGCTCAAAAAGTTATAGTCTGCCAAGTAGACCAGGGCCTGAATATGTATGAACCTAAGTCCGATGAATTGCAAAGACTAGAAAGGACTAAAGAGTTATAAGAACAAAGTTGGGGGCTTGTGTTCTATGAATTGTGATCAGGCTTATGTGAGTTCATTCTAGAGATGTGAGTTGTTACAACAATAACCAAGCCTGGCTTCACGGTACCTTCCTGTAATCCCTGTACTGGGAGGCTGAGGTAAGAGGAATTACACAAATACATGGCCAACCTGTGCTACACAGTGAGATCTTGTCTCCAAAAGATCAAATAAGTAAATTAAATAACTTAAAAAAAAGAGTCAACTTATGCATTTCAGATTGTTTCTCTCCTTAGGGGTAACCAACTGTTCTCTAGAGCCATGGGCAAAATACCATAGACTAGAGCCAGTTATCACTCTCTTTAGGCAGGTAGTATAAGATGTTGACACAAAACCATAGCTCTCATCTTGAAGGAAATAAAAGATAATCATTTTGAGTGGCTGAGACTGGAGGAAAACAGATTTGGGTTAGCCCAAATTCCATGTTCCAACGTAGAAGCCGTTTCATGAACTTGATAGTTTTACAGGATGAGTAAAGCTGAAATCAGGGAAGATTTAAAATACATTGGTGGGTATCTCAGGGAGGCAGGGGCAGTGAGATGGGGGAGCCTTTTACAGGCAGAAGATGCTATCTGATGATCTTAGCTTTGGGATTGGTAGAAGCTAGTGGTCTGCTAAGTCAATTGATTCCAGAAGGTTTCTATTAGTTACAAGATGTTAATTCCAACACAGATACAGGCAAGAAATGACAATTCTGGAAGACTAGAACTAACCCAAGATGAAGTAATATGGTAACTAGACTCTGGACCTGCAGCATTCCAGTTTCTCCACAGTGCTGCACTTCCAATCAGTCAATCTCTGCAGACAAAGGTTCTTTCAGGATATTTTGTTCACAAAGACAAGGAGCAGCAGATTGCAGCTGGCAGAGCAGGAGCCCATCCCCTCCCTCCGGATTCTGCTTAATGTGGATTACACAGCCCACCGAAGAGTCATGGCTTCAGTTGTATTATAAAACTGGGGGAATAATTAACCTCCAGAGGTCAGGAAGGCCACATGAGGTCACTTCTGTGAAAATGAACTGACATGTAAAACCATCTATCTAAATCCTCAGCCTTCAGCAGCTCCTTCATGTGAATTACAGAAAAGGCCTTTTCCTCTGTCTGAAGACTTTAAGTCAGTCTTATACAGTTAGTTTAGCAGAGAGCAGGTGAGGTTTTAGTCTCTACTTTCACTTTTGCTGTCCACTTACATATTTCCAAAGACAAAAAACAAACAAAAAACTAAACAAACCCTCAGAAACCCTGTAGACAACAGAGCCCTCAGATCACTGCTTGACATCTCCGCACAATGACTACAGAGAATATGCATCTCAGGGTAGATCTGGAGACCATCTTTGCAGTGCCTTAGTCCCCAGATGATCTGAAATCCAACTGGAGAAGGGTGTATCTTACTGTACACAGTGAGCTTACCGATTTTATACACCACATGTAGGAGCTGACGAATTGTTCTCCTTTGATATTCCTTTTCAAGAGCCAAATAACTACATTCACAAAATTTGGATTTTTTTTCCACTCCAAATAGTCAAATGAAGTCATAATATATTTGTAAAATGTAAAAAGAAGTGTTGGAAAGGTGACACAAATAAAAATAAACAAGACACCAGAAACTACCATTCCAGAAGTGATAGGAAAGGGCTTAAGACAGCATGGGTAGAAAACAAGACAATCAGGTTTGGAACTCAGGCACAAGGTGAGACTGTTCTAAACCACAGGTCAGTGGGCAGAACTCAGAGTAGAACAGTTGATGGAATAAAACTGTCTGCAGTTCCCCCCCAGTTAGAGGACACTTCCTGTCATTTGCCTAAATTGCTTTACTTCAAAGTGTTTGTGGGAGCAGAAAGACAAATTATCTGACTGTGTCATTCTGTGCTGGGAAGGAAAAAAGGGGAGATGAATGACTTTAGGAAATCCGGCTGTGTTTAAAAGCCCTAAGCACACAAGGAGATAGCTACTTTTATGGAGAGCAGCTTCTGGGTACTGCTCACAGAGAAGAAAGTTCTAGGACAGCAGAACTGGGGCATAGGAAGAGCCAAGACTATCTGAAGCTGTTTACAAGTATAGGTAAGCCATGTCAGGGTTGGATACCTCAGGGAGCAAACCCTGGGCCTCATCCATGCAGGCAAGATCTCTACCAACTGAGCCACATCCACAGCCCATTTGATTTCATTCTCTTGACATTTCTTTCTTTTTAAACGATTTTTTTTTGGTTTGTTTGTTTTTCAAGACAGGATTTCTCTGTGTAGCCCTGGCTGTCCTGGAACTCACTCTGTAGACCAGGCTGGCCTCGAACTTAGAAATCCGCCTGCCTCTGCCTCCCAAGTGCTGGGATTAAAGGCGTGTGCCACCACAGCCCTGCTTTGACATGTCTTTCTCTCCTCTTCTTTAAAAGAAAAACAAGCTCTGGCAAGTTTTACTAGAAAACCTTTCCTGGTTTATCTCACCAGTCTGCTCTGGCAAGCTTCTAATAATATCAGAGTCCCTTGAGCCAATGCCAGCCAGCGTGTACACTCTGCAGTATTTTCCACCTGCTGTGCCAGTGTAATGCTAGTGCCACTGTAATAATGCTAGTTTTTGGCCAAGAGCATAAAATTCTATTTCCGATTTCCTCAGAGCTGAGTGGTTGTTGAGCAGGATGGCCAATGGTGCCCTTCCCTGAGTCCTCGGCTCCAGTGACTGCTCACACACAGCATGTACTTTCCACTTTTCATAACAAGTTGGGCCCGGAGCTGTTGACTCTAAAGACTGTATCTTCCTTTCAGCTACATCTTCCTGCCTTAGCTGTGGGATAGCCCCCAACCAAGAGCAGCTCCCAAAATAGTTGGAGACTGAGAAAGCCATACTGCATTTCTTCCCTAACTACAAATAGAAATTCAAATGACAAGATGTAGCAGGGGCCTGAGCTGCCACTGTCCATTTCCAAAGCTTTACTTTAGGAGTGAGAATAAACCTACTTCTTTTTCTATTCATTTTTATCCCATTTTGGGAAAATAATAATAACAAGCAAAATAAATCTGTGATAAAAATGGTCACATTGCTTACTAGAGCAAGGTTTTCTGTAAGAATTTCTCTGTACTCATTTGGCTTAACTATCCTCCTTGGTGATTTGAGAGTAATTTTTCTTTAAGAATCAGTAGGCAGGGGCTAGAGAGGATGGAGTGGTATTAAGTTTCCTTGTTAATTACTCAGACAATGACTAGTTTAAAGTCACTTCTGTTAGTCACTTTCCAATCCTCAAGACAGACACCTTATTTCACAGGAATAGGGAATGTGAGGAGAAGGGGCAGAAGAAATGTACAAGAAAGAGATTCATTGCCTTAGGTGGGTGGAGTAATGGGAAGAATTGAGTGGATTACCCAAGGCCTATTTTGTTGGCTTTGGCCAACCGTGACGGGGGCAGAATTTCTCTCTACATCACGCCTTCAATTTCCTCCTCTTTTCCAGGCAAAATGAAGGTGACACTGGTGAATCTGTTGTTCATGATGTTGCTGCTGTTGCTCGGCCTGGGGCTGGGACTGGGGCTGGGCCTTCACATGGCTGCTGCCATCCTGGAGGATCAGTCACTGAATGAGTTTTGGTCCAGTGACTCCCAGAACACTGAGACCACTGGTGAGGGAGAGGGCACCTGGACCACAGAAGACCTTGCACTTGGCTACAAACAAATGGCACAAGCTGGCTGGCCAGAAGAGACTGTCCTCAGTGAAGATGAAGTAGTGGGAAGCAGGATGCTGAGGGCTGAGACCCTCTTTCAGAGCAAACAAGACTACCTTAAGTTTGACTTGAATATCCGGGACTGTAATACTATGATGGCACACAAGATAAAGGAACACAATCAGAGCTGCATAAACCAGTACACATTCATTCATGAGGATCCAAGCACAGTCAAAGCCGTCTGTAACAGTCCCCTGGTTGACTGTGACCTCAAGGGGGGCAAATGTCACAAAAGCACCAGGCCTTTTGATCTGACATTGTGCAAGTTGGCCAAACCAGGCCAAGTCACTCCCAACTGCCACTATCTGACTTACATAACTGAAAAGGTCATCATCATAACATGCAATGACATGAGACAACTGGAGACTAAATGAAGCAGCACGCGCCTTTCCCTCCTCTTTGTCTCGTTGCCCCTCCTCTGCATTTCCATTTGCTGACGCTTCTGTCCCCTCCTTGGATTTGCTAACTATAGAGAAGATCTTGGGAAGAGAGGACGGACCATTGCTGATCTTTGTCATCTGAGAATATAATTATTCTTTGTGTTGGGGGTCATCCAACTTGCATTTTGTTCTGGAAGGTCAGGAATGGAAAAATAATAATGCCTACTTTCTCCTAGATATCGCTCACCTTCAATCCCTGCCCCACAAAGGCCAAGCTCTAGGCCTGACCTTAGCGATGGTCATCAGTCTGATCCCTGGACTGAGTACACCTTGGGTATGGACTAGAAGAGTTTAATGCCTCCTTTACCCACCTCCTTCCCCACTACCTACATGAGGTCTCTACATTGCTACCTACATGTGGCAATCACAGACTCCTGGGCCCTATACAACATACTTCTCTGCTGCAGATGCAGCTAAAGCGATTCTACCTAGGACTATGTCTGGAAACCCATGTGGTTAGGCTTCTTTTCCTGAGCCTGGAAAATTATAAAGCCTGCTGTAAGGTGGTGTAGGGCATAGGTCAGAAGATCAAGTGCTTGAATAAGGAACCGTCTTTCTCACCTTCCCACCCCTTTCCTCCCCTTCTACTTTCACAACCTTCCTCTTTGCCCTCCCCCCACCCCCCGCCCTTGTTTCTTTCTTATCTGATACTTTTCTGTATTCCTCTTTTCTTTTACCTTACCTTTTTGGGTCTTCATGTCTCCAGATTTTTTTAGTCACTCAGTTAGCTAACATGGTATTACAGCTGTAATGGACAAGTAGATGTTGGTCCCATAGACTCAATCTGGCACAGGGAGTTTGAAGTTAGGTGGGGAAGGAGTAGAGAGGGAAGGAGAGAGAGAGGTGGGGAGGCTATTTTTGGTTGTCAACTCAATTACATCTGAAATTAACTACAACCCAAGAAACTGGGTATACCTGTGAGGGGTTTTTCTTAGTTAAATCATTTGATTTAATTTAATTGGGGTCTTTTGTTTTGTTTTTTCAAGACAGGGTTTCTCTGTGCAGCCCTGGCTGTCCTGGAACTCACTCTGTAGACCAGGCTGGCCTCAAACTCAGAGATCTGCCTGCCTCTGCCTCCCAAGTGCTGGGATTAAAGGTGTGAGCCACCGCTGCCCGGCCCTAATTGGGGTCTTTTGAGGTGGGAAGATCCACTTTTGAACTAGGCCACATCTTTTGGTGACAGCCTATACAAAGGACATGGAAGAAGGGAAACCTTTCTCTTTGCCTACTTGCCCTTACTCTTGCTGGCAAGTTCAAATCTTCATTGGCATTAGAACTTACTTCTTCAGGATTCCATTGTATGCTATGTCTAGACTTGGGACTGAATAATTACTGGATTCTTGGATGTTTTGTTAATAGACAGCCATTGTTGGACTAGCTGGACCAAAGCCTGTAAGTCAAGTCATTCTAATAAATCTCACATATATGTGAGATTTTGGGAACTGCTAGATCTACACTTTCCATTATCCTGCCTCTGTTTACTTTACTTCAACTAGGTGTTAGTCAGCTTTCTGATACTGTCATGAGATATATGAGAACTAACTTGAAAGAAGGAAGGATTCTTGGAAGAGCAGCAAGTGCCCTTGGCTACTAAGCAATTCTTACAGTTCCCACAGTTTTGCTTTTTTAAACTCCAAAAGAAGATTCCAGATTCTAAAATCACAGGCCTCAAATTTTCAGTTAGGGGATTGTCAACCTATACATATTGTATAATTAGCCTTTGAAGAATTTGTTTATTTATGGTACTATTTAGGCCATAAGCATCTCTGTGGAAGCATTTCAAGAATATGTTTCTCCCATAATCTTCATCAATACATTTACAGGTCACTGATAATCTATTTAGTGGTTATCTATCCAGCACCTCCTCAGAAGTCATAATAATTACAGTAACACATAAACTCACTTAGGAAAAGTGACAAGTTCTCATTCCTATTAAGCAATATTTCAAAGGTCATCAAGAGGATTCTTTCCTTTCTAAGACTCAGGAAAAAAACTACCATTGTATATCAGGCACACTCCTACAAGCCGTCCTAGGGTCATTTGGTTTAATTTAATTACATTTATCAGAAAAGCAACAAGCTCTGAGAGGCCCACTATATGGGTAACTTTTCTACTGCTATAGCAAAATACCTAGAGCTAAGTACTTAAAAAAAAAAAAGTTTATCTAGCTTACAGTGTAGGAGACTGAAAGCTCAAGTTTGGGTGTGGTATTTGATCTGGATGTGGTATTTCATTTGGGTGTGGTATCTGAGCCTCCACAGTCTCAGGCATTTGAGCACTTTGTCCCTAGTTGATGACACTGTTTAGAGAAGGTTTAGGTGGTGCAGCCTTGCTGGAGGAAGTACATCATTGGGAGTGTGATTTGAGAGTAAACGGTTCATGCCACTTCCAGCTTGCTTTCTCTTTTTTATGCTCATGGTTGAGGACGTGAGGTCTCAGGTTCTTGCTCCTCCAACCATATCTGCTGTTCACTGCCATGCTTGTTCCCTTCTGGAACTATAAAGCCCAACAAACTGTTATGTAAGTTTCTTCTGGACATGTGTTTTATCATAGCAACAGAAAAGTAGCTAAGACAATGGGAATCTCCATCAATTCAGCCTCTGGTGAGGGCTCCTTCAGTTGAGTCACAGCATGATAGGTGACATCATGGTACAAAAGAGAGGAAGACAGTCAAAGGCAGGAAGCTAAAGACTGTGATGGAGAAAGCTTTGCTCTTGTATAACAACCCATTCTCATGAGAACAACTGTTGCAGTAGTCAACTAAAGTTACTCAAATCACTCCTCTGGCTGCAGCACAAGTTCCTTGCTAACTGCCTCAATTTTCTGGACTCATGAATGAAAGACACACACAAACACACACACACACCCTTATATTTAATATGCCTTAATCAGCTCAATAGTTGGGCCACTCCCAAACATTGATGTGGCTAACACCTCCCATCTGATATACATGAGTTATTACTTACTAAAATTTATATTCCACCGTTGTTGCCCTAGACCCAGTTGGGGGCCCCCTGGGACCACTCTTCCTAGGCTCCTACATGATTGCTATGCTCTCTCTTATGCACTTCTCGGGCCTGGTCTTTCTCCTTTCCAGGCAAATCCTAAAATCCCACCTCTGTCTCTCTGCCCAGCCATTGGCCACTGGCAACTTTATTTACCAATCGAAACCAACTAGGGGCAGGGACCTTCAGGGTCTTCCATGCAGATTCTCATGCAATTTTGGGAACCCAATTAACAATATAAACTTTAAACCAAATCCACAACAACAAACTTCTCTGTATGACCAGCATTGACCTTTTCAGGAAAAGCACTAACTGCCTCTCAGTGAGTCCTCACCTTTTAAAGAGTCAACACTGCTATCCTGAACAGCAAGCTTCTACCACATGAACACCTCAGGAACAACCCTCACTCAGATCACCTAACCTCCAATGGTGGCTCTGCACCCAGGTGGGGGCTCATTGCTCTTCCCGCTCTTGTCAGAAGCTCACTGAGTTTGCTCTCCTGTGTTCATAGGGACAAGATCCAGCCCTAAGTAAAGTTAGAGGACTCGTATTCTTTATTGCATGCTTTTCGTGTCAACCAAGACTTATAAGCCAGAATGCTTGTGAATTTCAGCACTGGGGGAGAAAGATCTTGAATTCAAGGATAGCCCTGGGCTACATGTAGAATTCCAGGACAGACTGAACAGCAGAGAAAAATCTGCTTTAAAAAAAAAAACCCTACAGATTTTCTCTCTGTCTCCTCATCATTCTCATTCTCTCTCTCTCAACATTTTTTTTTTCAAAATAAACCCAGTATTTAGTCTTGAATTTTTTATACACTGTATTTTATTGAAAATAATGTTTTTTTATGTAATATATTCTGATCTTGGTTTCTCCTCTCACATTTCCTCCCAGATCCTTCTCACATCTCCATCCTTCCAACTGTTTTCTTTTTCTCTCTTAAGAAAACAAACAGGCAAATAAAAAAGACATACAGTCAAGAAGAAAACAAAAGAAACTAGCAAATGAAAAAACAAAAGGAAATAAAGAGTGTGAGAAGCACATACACATGCAAATATATATGCACACACAAAAACCCATAAAAATACAAAATTTAAAAAAAAAACATGATAGACAAGTAAAGACACATAAGGTTAAAAAAATGCCAAAACAAATCAATATGAGCCAAAAAATGTATCTCCCAAAATATCATTAAGTTCCTTTTTTTGGTGGTTGTCCACTGTTGGGCGTGGGAACTGCCCTCTAAGTGTGGTTTGTATACCCAGTGAGACTCCGTTGGAGAAAATGAATTTTTCTTTCATGAGCGGTGATCAATTAGAGATGACTTCTTGGTCGGGGATGGGAGCTCCTGTCTGGATTGTACCTATGCCATCCCTGTGCATATTGCTACAGTCTCTGTGAGTGTATATGTGCATCAGTCCTTGGAAGTCACTGTTTCCTTGGAGTCATCCATCCCTTCTGTCTCTTATAATCTCCCTGCCTCCTCGTCCACACAGCTCTTGATCCATGAGGTGACTGATGAAGATAACCTGTTTAGAACTGAGTGTTCCAGGTCTCTGCACACTGTACACGTGTGGGTTCCTATATTAGTTCCCATCTACTGCACAGGGAGACTACGATAATGGCTGAGTGAGACACTTGATCTAGCACAATGTTTCAAGGAGTCAATTTATTGCTACATTCCTTTAGCAGAATGAGCGTTTGGTTTTCCCCTAGGTTCATGGTCTGTCTAGTCTCAGGTACTTGGCTACCCAAGCAGTGTCAGGACAGCCCATGTCATGGAATGGGCCTTAAATCCAATCAGGTAGTAGGTGGCTACCCCCACAATGTTTGTACCACTATTGCACCGACATTATAAATATATTTTGATCATAATCATTTCCCTCATCCAACTCCTCCCAGATCCTTCTCCACCTCCCTATCCACCCA